TTCAGTTTCCTTTCCTTGTTGTGTCAATTAAATATATATAAACATATATACGTAAAAATAAAAAAAAAGAGAATAATAGTTAATGAGCTAATTACATAATATGAAAATATAACAACGTGATCAATTAATTGAAACAAAGATATTGATACAAAGAACGAGAGTAATTACTTCATAGAACATAAAGGAGTTATCGTTGTGGGTAATTGATCTCATGTATGAAGCTCGATAAATGAACAAGTCGAACGAAATCTCGAATAACAACAAAAACATGCATGTGTACATATATATATATATATATATATATATATATATATATATATATATATATGTGTATATATATGTACGAGATATCATGCATACCTTTCGTCTTTCTCCTTTTCTCTCTGTCTGTCTCTCTCTCTCTCTTTCTCTCTCTCTCTCTCTCTCTCTCTCTCTCCCATTCACCCGTTTCCTCTATAACTCAACAATAATTTCAGTATCGGTCTGCACGCAGCTATTATGAGTCCTATTGTTAGTCCTAACCATTGTCACAGAGCTACTCGCGTGCGACCACGAAGTTACACTACCTCAGTACATTGTAAATCTGATTGTGAACGTAGTACAAGCTTATGTGAAATTAATATTAGTGTAAGAGATAGACTAATTGATATTTATATAAGTATACGTTATACTAATTATATATTAGGGGGACCGAAAAGTAATCAAAATTTCTTCGGTAAGTACACTCACATTTAGTTTGTGTCAATAAAAAATCGAAGAACTTTTTAATAGAAGAAATTGAACAATTTCCTTTACGTAAGGCAAAAAGTGTTAGAAAATGATGCAAACATTTTTTTATTGATTAGCATTTTAAATTTCTATAATAAATAAATGTTTTTCGTCAATAAAGAAAAATTCAGATTACTTTTCAGTCCCCCGAATAGAAAGAATAATTTTTGTTGCAAAAATTATCAAAATATTACGCAATAAGATGAAAATAAAATGAAGAGGAAAACTATCATCTCTTTTTTTCTTGTCTGTATTATACATATTTATATATGATAACATAGAGAATAAAATATGGTATCTCAAGGAACCCACGATTCATATTCGAAAAATAATGTCAAAAAGAAACGAATCAAAGCAGAAGAAAGACCAAGGTAAGGAATCATTGAAATACCTGGAGGCGATTGGATGTACGAAAGAGAAGAAGGAAAACGTTATCCATCTTATTGCCATGGCGTATCTGATCATTCCCTTATTTCTACGTGTTTACGTATGAAAATGATGCACTCGAGGAAATAGAAGCAGGGAAATATAGCGAAACACGCGACGAAATGGGCTACGAAAGGAGGAATGAAATGGAGGTGATGGGAGTTTGGTGACAGGTAGGGAAATGGGTGCGCACACGTTGAGACAGATCGCATCTTGGCTAGGATTACCCTTTCTCTCTTCCTTTCTCTCTCTCCTTTTGCATCCAAACATCCTACTATCTCTCTCTCTCTCTCTCTCTCTCTCTCTCTTTCCCTGTACGTCTGTACATCTGTCCGTCTGTCTGTCCTGTCTTTTCAGAGCCACATTTCGAAGGTAGACTCCAAACCATCATACGTGTGCATACATTCGTTATCGCGGTATTGTCGTGCATAGCTATAATCCACGCATAGTCAGGAGAACGAACGCTTTGCATGCAGTAAGGTCCTACCAAGCTACGAATGGATAGTAGATTACACGCGTCGTGCGATATTTCCTCTTACTCTAGTTTCATATATACTTCGTTCTCTCTTCTTCAGATAAACCGTCGTAGTATGTAGCTTTCAGGTACGGAACGACACTTGCTCGTTGGATCCTGTTTACGCGAGATAGGATGCGGCGTCGTAACGCTCGACGAGCTCGTGAAAAAAAAAGAGGAAAGAAGAAAAGAAAAAAAAAAGCATAGTATTATCTATTATCGTAGTTGCGAAACGTTTCCACCAATATCTGTACATAGGATGAATACGCGTCGTCTGCCTATGGTACAAGCAAGGGATGAATATTCGCTGTAGCGTATCTCCTTTGAACGATCGCGAACGAGAATTCGAATATAAACAGTAGCTAGCGAGAGTCATAGCTTGTTTCCCAGGACAGAAGCAGATATAATATTTGTATACGCTTACAAATGTTGATGTTTAAGTTCCATTGAAATACTATTCTAAACTCTTGTTAGATAGATATATTTACTTACTCGGAAGATAGTTGTTTCAATAAATGGTATATATCACTAGGCATCCCCTTAATCTTGGAATAACTTTAATAATATATCGATGGTTACAGTATTAAACGTTAAATTAGTTTGTATTATATTAATTGAAATTTGTTATTAATAATTTGGAGCATTGTGTAAAACGTTTTACTATAAATCTTATAACGATTATTTGTGATAAATTTGATACGATAAGGGTGTTAGTTTTAAAACTGTAATTCGTTAATAATTAACATAATACGATGTGGATTAAATAAGCTCGTCAATTATTTTATATTGAATTTATGTTAATCGATTTGTATTAATTAATTTATTTTTATTTCTAATGGAATTGTTATAACGGAATTATTATAACGTGCGGTAGACCGCTTTGGTCAAACGTTGTTGCGGATTTACGCGATTTGACTGCCATCGTTTAGAATTCATTTTATTTCTGTCTATTTATGAGTGATATCGTTTCTTTCTTTCTTTTTCTTTTTTATTATTCCATTACACGGACACTTGTGTGTACCTTTCGTATTTTTTTGTTTTTTATTTTAACGACTAATAAATATATCGTTCTATGCGTGTCCGACGCATGCACATACACACACACAAAGACGTTAGTTATTTCCATGTAACTTGTATCGTGGGTATCCGCATAGAGTTTTACTATACACAAAATAGGAAGGAAGGTTGTACACGCAGATGAAGTCACTTGAACTTCAATCCGTGCGATGATACGAGGCTAGATTTTCTCTCGTTAAAAGTATCAACAGAGTGCGAAATAAAATTTGTACATATTTTTCCTTTTTTGTTTTTGTTTTGGAGAATCTCACGCTCCAAAAAACACAGCGAATATACGCGCTAGAATGAAGTCTTTCATTGCGAAAAAACCATTGGCAACTATTTCAAATCGATCTAACGATCGAAAATATCCTTACCCGCAAACTAATGAAAATTAATGAAAAAAAATCAAGGGAAAAAAAAATTCCTCAAACAATCCAGATACAATCTTTTGGGAATAAAAAAGAAAAAAAGAGAAAACAAATAATCAAAAATACATAGGGAGGGGGAATGAGGTTTATCGTTAGACGTAAACGATGAGATCACAAGCATGCAAAAGGGTCGATCGCCGTGTAATTGTTGCTTTTTCCTATGCGTTCTACTACCATCAGGGATAATATCGGTCCGATAAGGGATAAATTCGCCGCTAGAATCACAAAGGGAAACGTTACAGAAATCGTGGGTGCCACTGATCACTGATACGAAATTAATGGTCGTCGTTCGTGAATATTCCTACGTGTATACTCGTACGTGTATAGAAAGAGAGAATGAGAATGAATACAACACAAGCATAAAGCGAAAGAGAGAGAGAGAGAGGGAGTTTAGAGAGCGCATATGGAGAATTTCGGAGGCGTTGCAGAGGGCTTATGTGTGCGGATGATATTCTAATGGGCGGCAGTCCGAGCAGAGGCCTCTCTCGCGCATTTAGTCGAATGGGGTAAAACTGCGGTTATTTGCGGTGCACTTCAATCGAATTGGCTGCCGTTTGCATAATCGCCTCTCGGATTCGCGTACACGACGACCGGCATTCGTCAGCGTTCATGCAACTTTTCTCACGAACACTGCCCGCAGATTTTTACCATTTTTCTATATCTTTACTTTCTTTTTTTTTTATGTTTCTTTCTTTCTTTCCTTCCTTCTTTCTATCTCATTCCACTATTTTTATCATTCTCTATTATTGTCGATAAAACGAATGTTTCCTCAAACCAACCCCTACCCTCGTCAGCTCTCATACTTTTTCTCTTTTAAATATCAGAAAGACAACTATTTACCGGTCTATCGCTTTTTCTGATTCCATTATTTTCTTTCCAGCAATAGCGTGATATCTAGAATTTATGAATATACTCTCGTTCGATACGTAAAATTCAAAACCCCCTTTTTCCCCTATAAAACTTTATGTTATCCATACGTTGATTACATAACTTGGACTATTTTATTTTCTTTTTTTTTTCTATAGTCACGATTCATAAAAATTTGCTTAATAATTTATTAAAATTGGCCTTTTTACGGTATAGCTAATAAAAGAAACAAAAGATTACTTATATCGATTGTAAATTTAAAAATTTATTAATACTTTGTTGAGAATGAATGAATAGTGTAATTAATTAATGCGTTTTTTTTTTTGTTCAACCTCTCAACTTTTCTCTCCCGATCTATCCGTTTTCTTCCTTTTATAAGTTTCTTTTTCTTTTCATTTTTTTTCTAATTACAACGTACGTGTTACGAGATATTATTAATTTTCGAGCCTATGATTTTGAAATTGACTCAATCGTTAAATGTTTCCAGGAACAATCTAAGATTTCAAACGATATACGTAAATTCGATTAATTTGTTTATAATGCATAAAAATAACAATTTAACAAAAAAAATCTATGTGAACATTTAATCAAGTGATATTTGATGGATTCGAAATCGTAAAGCTTGAATGACATTAATTCTGAACAAAAAAAAAGAAAAAACTTTGGGTTACGACTGAGTAGGATGTAATGGAGTGTGGCAAAGACGAATGTAAATGGTCTTTGAAGATAAAAAGAATCAAAGGGAAGAGGAAACGAAGGAGAAAAACGTAAAAAAAGAAACAGAAGAAAAGTAAAAGCAAAAGTAGTGGAAGAAGAAGAAGAAAATAGAATAAGATAGAATAAGATAGAAAAGAAGGATGAGAAGACGAAGATAGAAGAAAGAAAGAATGTGTGGGAGGGAAGTTGGGATAGCCTCGACGAGATTAAAGTCGTCTCACCTGTCGTCGGTGAGGAGTAGAGTAGCACCGCTAGTAGTACCAGCTGCATTTTAGTCAGACACTTTCCGCACCTGGAGCACGATTCACCGACCGAAGTGGTGGCCCACTTGCGCACCTGCACCCTCGAGTGGTTCATCGTTCACTTGACATTTGTTCGGCGAAAAATCTACGGCGCTTTCGCGCGGACCAATTGTCTTTGAACGAAAAAGGAACAAAAAAAAATCAGCTAACCTCGGCGGACCGTATTCTTTTTCTCTCTCTCTTTTTTTTCTCTCTTTCCTAATTTATAATCCGAGTAGTAATTGAACTTACTGGATTCTTTATTAAGGTTTCCCTTCTTTTGTAATTTTCACCTTGGACGATGAAACTACGAAAATTTGCAATTTTAACTTTTCTATTACGGTCACTTTTCTACCTCTTTGTCCTTATTTCCTTTTAATTTATTTCCTCGAAAGAGGACATTTTTACGATATCTTGACGTAATTTCTAATCTTCCTTGTTAATTGAAACTATTAAATTTTCTATCACAGTTTGTGTCTCCTTCTCTCTCTCTCTCTCTCTCTCTCTCTCTCTCTCTTTCTTTCTTTCTCTGTGAAAAAAAAAACCCCTATACAAACTCGCGTATTTTTATCCAGCGACGATTGTGAAGTTCCTTCTTCATTCTTTTCCTTCAACGAGTTGAAAAGTCTTCATTTTCTCGTTATAATAAATGTTAAACCTAAAACTGAACTCTTTCTTGTCGTTCGTCTTCTATCATTCTCTCTCTCTCTCACGTTTTTTTGGGGGGGTTATTCTCGCTGTTTCTTCTCTTCTTCACTTTGTCCTTGGGGCGCTAATTAGCACAAATTAATTATTCGCGCCATCGGAAGAGCTAACGCGACTCCTCAAACTTTTCTCGGTTTCTCTTTCGAAATGTATTCACTAGCTCTTAAGCTGCGATACGAACGGAATGTTTCTCGGTGGATTTGCGGCTTGTGAAGTACGTTTACGAATATTTATATAGGAGTTTTCTTCGTTGATTCTCTCAACACAATTCGCCGTTTCTGTCCAAGTATCGTTCTACTTATTCGTTCATCTGGTCCAATTATCGGATACTTGTCTTCGCAACTTACCACTCTCATTTCTTTTTCATTTTGTTATTTACTCAAATTCATCATCCTCCACTTTCTTTATAATTCAACTTCTTCTTTTTTTTCTTTTATTTTTCTTTTTTATTTTCTATTCCTTTTCTTTTAAAATTATTTGCTCGCGATAATCAAACATTCATTAAACACTTGAACATATTTTCCTTCCATGAGCTTGAATTTTCGAATCGTGACGATTAATCGAACGACAATCAATAAAATGAAATTCCAACAACATTTTCGAATGAGCGAAAGGTAAATAGAGAAATAAATAGAGAAAGAGAGAGAGAGTGAGTGAGAGTGAGATGAAGAGATAGAAAGAGAGAGAGAGTGAGTGAAAGATACGCGCGTATTTCAACGAAATTTTCCCACGTGCCACTTCCTTGCAAAGCCACGTGGTTACGATATTCATTCACGACTTTAGTCACTTCTAAACGATATTTAATCGATCTCACCCCTCCCTCACTTATTTATCTCCTTCCTCTTTTTTCCCCTTTTATCACGACCTCGTTCATAATTTCTTTGATCCCTCACTTGTAAATATCAAAAATCACGCGATCCATCATCATTTCAATTCCCCTATACTGTCGTTTAAAATAAACATTCACATCACAAGTAACACATCATCTAATGAATCTTCAAATAAATTATTTTTGGGTTTCAAAAATAATACATATATATTTTAATTAAAAATAATCGAAAGGGTATCACTTTCGAGATGATTCGAAAGATTAATAATTTAAAAATTTGATATAATTCCTCGCATTGAGTAATCGATCAAAAAAAAAAACCAAAACAATGTAATTGTGGTATGAACGATTCGCGTTGAAAAAAAAACAACTTTGACACATAGCAAGGAACCTTTTCCATCGGCAGTTCGTAGTTAACAGAAGGCCTTGGCGGGAGCTCTACCAACGAATAAGGTATTACTCCCACGCGCGCATGCTCCTCCATTCTTTGGATCATCGTCCAACACCAATCTCTCGCTTACTCCCTCTTTCTCTCCCTCTCTCTTTTTTCTTTCTCTTTCTCTTTAACTCACTCACTTCAACCCCCTCTTCATTTTCCTATGAGCTTCCCAAAGAGTACTTTCGCTCTCACTCCGTTACACACACATACATACACACACACACACACACAGAGTTCAACGTTTCTCGATCTCTGTTTTCTTTTCGTTCGTTTCTATTCGTCTCGATATTACCCCCACCACTAGTATCATGCATGCTATGAACTGCACGTGTACTTAATGTAACTCGAAAGGGTGGGGTGATCCATAAATCAATTAATTCAACTAATAAACCGAAGCACCGCCATTCTCTGACTACAGTCTTTTCTTAGGACTCCCTTTCATTCTTTCAAACTTGCTCTCATATTTTCTCTCTCTCTCTCTCTCTCTCTCTCTCTCTCTCTGCTTTTCTCTCTCATTGTAATCGAATCATTTTTTTTTTGGTCCATTTGTATCCTTTGGTTTTACTTGCGCAACAAAAAAAATGGATCTTTTTCATTTTATGTTCGCGGTTTTCTCTTTGTTTTGATTGAATCTTTTTTTTTTGTTTTTTTTTTCTGTAAAATATGGGAAGAAAAATATCATGTTCTCCAACCGTTTATATGGATGAATCGAAATGGAGATGCGTAGAATGAAGGTAATAAAAAGTTTAAAACTTTTACCTCGACAAAATTTGTTATCATTGTTTTAAAAGATTTCTACGTTGGTGAAATGTTTAATGTGAAAACAGGAGGAGAAAAAAAAGTAAAATAAATAAAATAAAATAAAATGAAATAAAACAAAGGAAAAAATGGCAATCGAGAAATAGAGAAGCGCGTTTCACAAATGAAATGTTCTGAAAGAAGGGCTCACGATAACGAGGTTAAATAGGGCGTACGGAGAATGTGGTTACTATCGGGAAAGGTTGGAGCTTATTAATGGATCAAGCCTTTAATCGCAATCGCATCGTTCTGCACGTTGAAAATTACTGCAAATGTGAACGAAATAATGGATAATGAAATATTCTTTAATGTGTAAATGAACATTTTGAGCGTTCACGTAAATTACATTGAATTCATTATTTCTCGAAAAATTTTTATTAATGCACGTAAAAAGATAGATAGATAGACAGAGAGGGAGAGAGAGGAAGGGGGAAAAGGAAGGAGAAAGCTTTCGCAGAGACGCTTCTAATGGTTGGTATCGTATATCGCCTGTATAACGAACGACGAAATGTAATTCTCGAGTACAATGGTAACGGTGGAAGCACGTTCGTTAATATTTACAGATATATAGATGGTATGGTAATTCATAGAGTGAATACAGTTGGTATATTATGTTTCAATATGTGATCTGACCGATATTGCGATCGAACGTGACCAAGTAAAAATGAAGTTACATTTATTTATCTCATGTTGGTGTAAAGATGAGAGCTAATTCAATTATAACGGGGGCCTATTCATCGTTCGTTTACGTTTACTACCGGGGTCTAATTTTCCCAAAACGAGTTTTCGCGTAGTTTAATTCGATTGTGGACGTAGAACCAAACATCGATTAAACTAATCGACCCCAATAAGCTTAAACTCGTAAAACCACTTCTCCGTGCATATCCAAGATTAAATGAAATCAAGTAGAAAATTTAGTAGCATGTAGATCGTATTCGTTTTCATGTGTTGTATATTATTATTTTCTTGTCTTTTTTTTCTCCAGATTTTATTAGCTTTATCAAAGAATGTAATATAACAGGTATACGTATAATTTCATTTTCTCGTTATTTCAGAGTAGACGTCGAGCTTATCCTATCCACTTTTTGAGATGATAATCGTTTAAATAGAGTCAATTTATCTACAAAATGTGTGCATTTGACCCTTACAATTTTTCACCAGAGTGACCCTTTGAAAATGGACATGGAACATCATTTTTCGAAATGTTCGCTTAAAATCGTTATCATTGTAACGTCTCGAGGTAAATGTTATCACGTTGAAAAGGTCTTAAGGTCCTTAAAGAGCTCATTTGTCTCTAGGATTCATCTTTTCGATTACTTCTCTTCCCTTTCGTCTAGCAAAAACTCATTTATACCGAGACGACCCCTGTCCACCACAAAATCATCCTTGAAAAACATCCTCAAATTCGAGAATCGATTTGCCATAATACCACCTCAATTCTTTTATCCATCCTTTATATTTCCTCGTTTTATCCATTATCGAAAAGTCGATCTTCGTTAGATCCCTTTATAAACCATTTTAATCTGAGAATTTTGTTAATGTATCATCACGTAGGATAAATCAATCTGCGTTATCATTGCCCGAATTATTTCTTTTTTTTCAGACCGGAATGACTGATATCAACGTTAATAAAAATGAAAAAAAAACAACAACAAAATAGAAATGATTAAATAAACTCGACGTTGTTTCTTTTTCGCGCTCAGGCCAAATTCGTAAATAGTATTGATCGCGAGTAAAAGAGAGAGAGAGAGAGAGAAAAAAAAAATGAAAGAAATAAGATTAGAAAAGTTGAACTTTGTATCCCTCGATATTTCTCTTTGATTCTTCCCTATTAGCAGAACAGAGACTTGATTTCTTTTAACGAAATCGCGCACATTTTTCTTCATTAGGATGATTACAAGTAAAGAGGATCAAACAAGTACCTACCTACTTCTATCGTTATATCGTTCTACAAACCGTTTAGGTGTGGCTCGAAGGGAGAGAACATGTATTATCACCCAGACTTGATTTCCTGGCGTGTAGACAAAAAATTAAACCTAATCATGCGCTTATAGTAGATTGCCAAGATAAATGGATTAATATAGGTCTAACAGTATCGTTGAATTATTAAAATATATTACTTTGATCATTTGTTACGTGAGATAGAAACAAATGTTCTCTAATGGACATGTAGAAATTATATCCTTTCTTTTTTGATACCAGGACTTTTCTGTTTTCTTTTCTTATGTTTTTTTTTGTTTTTGAAGTGAAACTTCTTAAGTGATGGTAATGACAAAATTTTATGAAACGACATTAAAAAGAAAAGAAACATAGAGACGAAGAAAGAAAGAAAAAGTGAGATTGAACCCACTATACAGATTTCCACTTTATACGATTATAAAAAAATATAAAAGAATTATAAAACTATAATATTCCTAATAAATAATTTGTTTATAAATTAAATGCCCTGGCATATTGTTTAATTCTCATTCTATTAATAATTTTAATTCATATTGTTACTAATTCTTAATTATTATTGAAATAATACTCTTAATGTGCATGTCAGTGCACATCTAAGCGTGCGTTCATACTGTAACAACTTGCGTATTATATTTGAGGTTTCATTCGAATGTCAATTAGAATGTTTTTATTATTGCGTTTGTCGAGTAAGAAACTTGCGTTTTACATTTGAAGTTTCAACCGAATTTACATCAAAGCATTTGCATGTTTACATGTTTGCATGTTTGCGTTAATTTAGGAAGGGAGTACTGTAAATTGAGTACTGCTATATTCCTTATGCGTTAATCGAGTCGTTAGTTTAATTTCAAATGATGTTTATCATTTTTTTTTATCCAACATTAATAATAAGTTAGAGAAAAAGAAATTTTATGACTCGTTATTTGAGTTGAATTTTGTTGAAAATTCTTTCTAATAAATTATTAATGAAATGAATTTGTTAGAAAAATAAATGTAGAGATAAAATCTTAACCTGGGGGGCCACACCAAATACAACAACCTCCTCCTCGTGGTAAGACTTGGGTTAGTATTATTCACGATCTATCCAAATCTAATTGTAAAATGTATAACGCAAATATTACTAAGCGAATGACTGTGGCAAATTCAATCTAAATTTATTTACATGTTTAATTATTATTCACTTTCTTTTGGTTCTTTGTTTAATATTTAAATGATCCACGAGTTTTTTCTTTTTTTATCAAAAAAATCTATGTATTGAATTGCATTATAAAAACTTGAACAATAACGGTTAAACAAATATTGTTGAAATTAAAATGATGTCTAACGAGCCACACAAAACGATCGAAAAAATAAGTTCCGTTATTTTTGCACGAATAGTTAACCATTGAATCGTAAAGCAGGTATATATA